GAATTTTCCCTGCTGTCTGGCAACTGGGGCAGAGTTGGGGCAAGGGTTCTAGGAGACTGAAAATTAAATATTTTTAAAAGTTAAACAAAAGCAAATGAAGCTGGTTGGCTTACTTAGATTTTTTTTATTTGGTAATTATAATGAAGAGTATTCATTCTGAAGGGACTATGATTCTGCTCTTACTGACTTCTGACGTCTGAGTTTACTCTGTAGCATTACTAAGGAGTTTTTGCAAATTAAGATATTTTTGTCACTAACCCTCTTGTGCCTACAATTTGTGTATCTACCTAGAACTCTACCTCCTTTAGCTGTTGTAGTCATAAGGGAATGCTCATCTATAAACATTTCATCATTGGCACCTAATGCTGCTTTATAGCAAAGCTATTTACATTATGCATTTAACAATGAATAGTTGTAATGATATATTGTGTACCCTAATAAAATTTATCTGAAGATCAAAATAGAACAAACCACTAGATTAAACATAGATGCCAGGCAGTGGTGGCACACACCTTTAATCCTAGCACTTAGGAGGCAGAGATCCATCTGGATCTCTGTGAGTTCAAAGCCACCTGGGTTACATGAGATTGATTCAGTCTAGGAGAGAAACAGAGCCAGGCAGTTGTGGCACACACTTTTAATCCCAGTACTTGGGAATCACATGCCTTTAATGCCAGCACTAGGAAGGAAGTAATATGGCTGGGTGGAGAAAGGTATATAAGGCATGAGGAGACAGGAACTAAGCCCTATTCAGCTGGAGACCTTTTGTCTGAGGACTCAGACATTCATTCAGTCAGAGGATTCATGGAGTTGGTGAGGTGAACTGTGGCTTGTTCCATTGTCTCTCTGCTCTCTCAGCATTTACCCCCAAATCTGGCCCTGTTTTTTTATTATCTTTAGCATTTGAGCAACAAATAGTAAGTTAGCTGTATCTGGTCCTCTTCATTATCTATCATTATCCTATCTCAGCAAGATGATGATAAAAAATATATTCTTACTTATGCTTATTGTGGGAATATTATACCTGCATGTCTGTCTGTTTGCTACTTATGTGCCCAGGCACTGTGGGGCTCCTAAGAAGGAATCAGGTTTTCTGGAACTGGAGTTACATGTGACTATGAGCCTCTATGAGAGTGCCTGGAATTGAACCTGGGTCCTCTGGAAGAAGATCCAGTACTTTAAACACAGAGCAAACTCTCCTGCTCTCCCCCTTTGTGGTCTTCTTGTTTTGTGCTTTTTCTTTTCTTTTGAGAGAGAGCTTCTTTATGTTGTCCTGGAACTCCCTCTGTAGACCAGGCTGGCCTCAAACTCATAGAGATCCACCTGCCTCTGCCTTCTGAGTGCTGGGATTAAAGGTGTGAGCCACCTCTGCCTGGCAGGTGATAATTATGTAAAGCAGAAGTTTTCTTTCAGCTGCTGTAGAAGTAATCATTACACAGATCTGGGCACAAAAGTTAAGATGTACTCCTAAGCTCTAGAATCCCACAATCTCCTCAGTGCCAGGGACCAAACATTCAGAGACTTTCCCTAAATTTCTAAGGTATGAATATTAGGAATATTTTCTTCCAAGGTAAAACTGAAAAGATGACTTGGAATCCAAGGATGATTCTGTTGTGCCCTGCTCTGTTTCATTTACCTTCTCAACAATTTTGAAGATAGATGGGTCTTAAAATTCTGTTATTCTATGGCTCAAATGGTATTTACTTTTTGTTTGTCTAAGATAATAGAATGCAAAAGTTTGGAGGTGTGCTAGTATAAAGTAATGATTGTATTCAACCTTTCACAAAGGACAGTGGGTTCCCCTTAGATCATTTTCAGAGATGGATCCTGAGTACCTCAGTGCTGGAGTGAAACACAGATTATTATAGACATGGGCTTGAACCTTCTGCTCTGTTCTTCCTAGAAGAAAAGAAGGGTGAAGGGACTGGGCTGCCTCTTGTAGGACTAAGACTCACATTATGTCCCAAAATGAATTCCTTTACATTTTCTAATGAGTATCATTACGGTGGGGACTTGCATACTCTTGTTAAAAATCGTGACTCCATTTTCCACCTGCTTTTAAAATTATTTATTTTATTTTTTGAAATTATAATATCATTTCTTTTTCTCTTTCTTCCCTCCACACTCTCCCCAAAATATCTCCATGTTCTCTTTCCAATTCATGCCCTTTTTCTTCATCATTTGTTGTCTCACGCATACATTCATGTGTATATACACACATACTACTAAGTATAACCTGCTCAGTCTGTATAGTGTTACTAGAATATTGGGGGGGATATATTAAGGCAACTCCATGTAGTCCAAAGGGAGGTTTATTTTGGGGTAATGTACAGCAAGTAAAGAGATTGGTTACAGTATCTGGGAGATGTGAAGTGCAGTCCAGTGGTATTCTCTGGAGACCTCTGATTGGTTTACCATCCAGCATCCAGAATCACCAGGAATCAAGAGAGCAGGCACATCCAGATCACGGGTCTTAAAGGATCCCATCTTGGCCCCACCTCAGGGTAAGGTCATAGGTAGGTGTGACAGTTACCAGAAGACTCTCTGGGGGTAGTACTTCCCAGTCAAAGCTGGTACAGCTAGCTACACACTACACTAGTATGTATGTTTTTAGCGAGGACAGAAAGCATTTATCTGAATTGTTCTATTATCAATAACAACTCTGGAGTCTTGGGGTAAGACCCTGATAATTCAAGAAAGCTACAATGGAATAGCCAGCTGATCCTCTCCATCCATATTTCCCAGATTGAAAGGGCCTACATATCTTTCTATGCTTTCTATTTCTTCCCATGTTCTCTATCATATCCTGGGTCCTAAAAATTCTCCATGGCTAATTCTGGCCATATAGTCATAGACATTGCTCCCTGATTCAAGGTTAACTTTGTTAACAGTCTTGGAGGGTCACAGTTTGATCTAATGTATCAAAACCATGTCCATTTTGTATTGGATAAGCAATTACTGTGGTCTTCCCTAGGTAAGACTGGTTCTGCCATTTTCAGCCTGTCTTACTTGTGTCTGTATTTTTGTTGTTTGTTTTTGCTGTGTGTGTGGAGGGTTGACGGCTTCTGTGCTTTCCTACATCAACTTTAGCATTTTTATGTTGTTCTTATCTAGCTTATGTCTTGCTGGTGAGACTTCATGAGTATAGATTCTGATATTCCTAGGAGACACAATCTCACAGCAAACTCCATGTTCTTCTGACTCTTAATCATTCTGTCCCCTCTTCTGGAATGATCCCTGAGCCTCAGGAGCAGAAGTTGTTTCATCCATCTGCTTTCGTGCTGCTATTTTAAATGTAATGAAGGTAAAGACCCAACTCTTGAAACTTCACTTTTTTCTGGCCTCACTGGCTCAGTTTGTGCAGTTTTAAATTCTCAGTTTTGCTGCAGGATGAACGCTTTTTCATGAGCACTCATTAGAATGGCTCTTTCCCTGGGCACCCCTTCTCAGTCTAACGAGAACTAGAGCAGGAAACTTGAGGTGTGATGGGCTTTCATCTGTCTTGTGTTATTCCAGACAACACAAATGTAAGTGAAAAGAGTGGTTCACACAACATACAGTTTTAACTTCCCTGACCTTTCCAGCTCTGCCCCAATCATGGTGCTTTGAGATCTCCCAATCACTTTGACCTCCCAGCTTTTGTTGTACAAATTCCATTTCTTTTCTTAATTTATCTTTCTCTGCTTCAGCTCTGGACTCAAACTAATGTTCTAAAGAAATTGTGGCCACAGAGAATCTATTGTTTGATGATACTTGTGGGATATTTATACACTGTGTGAAGATATGTTGCTGTGATTGGTTTAATAAAGAGTTGAATTGTCAATAGCTAGGTAGAAAGTATAGGCAGGACTTATGGACACAGAGAGGAAGTGAAGGACATAATTGAGGAACAGAAGAGATGGCAAGGAGATGGGGGGAAATCAGACATACAGAATGGAAGAAAGATAAAAAGCCACAAGGTAAAATGTAGATTACTATAAATGGCCTAATTTAAATTATAAGAGCAAGTGGGATAAGTCTGCTCTAATGCCTAGTTTTAAGAATTCATATTAAGTTTCTGTGTCATTATTTTTGAGCTGGTGGCCCAAATAAAAATCCTTCTATAGATACTTGTACCTTTCCTGAAGATCCCAGGATTGTTGGAGAATTTGTTGCCCCAGTTTCTCATGCACCTGATGTTCTTCATGAGCACCCCAGAATTATTGAGACCTCAGGATGACCCTTAATGGCTTTATTCAAAATGGTAGAAACTTGGGTCTAAGAAGAGAAATTTCTTAAGGGCTCAATAGCCATCTGTCCCCATGAAATTTCTTTCACTGAAAAAATATCAGCCATCTTAGTGTGGTATATTTTCTGTTATTGTGGTAATTTATTGAACCAAATGACTGGATGAAGCAACTTCTGCACCTGAGGCTCAGGGATCAGAAGAGGAGCCAGAATGATTAATGCAGTTATGGGAAGACACAGTGGGAAATATCCATGAACCACAGGACAAAGAGTGTCTAATGTCTGAGCAGAGTAGCTCATTAATCAAGATGGGAACCTTTAGATTTTTGAAAAAGATTTATTGTTATGTTTGTGTTTATGATTACTTTGCCTGCACACATAGTATATAAGTGTAGCCTGTGCATGAAATGCCCATGGAGGCCAGAAGAGAGTGTTAGATCTCCTGGAACTAAAGTTTCAGATCGTTGTGAGTCGCCATGTGAGTGCTGGGAATTGAACCGGAGTCCTCTACTGCTTTTAACTGCTGAGCCGTCTTTTCAGGCATGACCTTCTTATCTTTGGTTGAGGATTGCTGTTGGTCAGAGCTCTGGGTTCATGTCCTGGATGTTACCTAAAATGTAATTGAGGGCATGGAAGAGCTTATTTCTGTTTATGCATTATGAGGCTATCTACGTCTTTACACTTACTTTTAGATTTCTTTATGTTAGCTATTTATAGTAACCAGAAATCTTTTCATTAGTCTTCACAAAAATGAACTTATGTTTTATTTCTAGGTGGAAGCCACTATATGTTGATGAACCGTGTGTCACAAATTCTTCAAGACCATGGCCATAATGTGACCAGTCTGCTTAATGAAAAGTTTCTCTATCCAGGTACTTTTAAAATCAATTCTTACATTAAGTCACTTTGAATAAAAAATAATGGCTTGATATAAGTTCTGTATTTGATCTTATTTAGATATAAATCATGGTATGTGTGTTTGTGTGTGTATGTTTTTTTATGTGTGTGAATGTGTGTATGTGTGTGTACATAAGTTTTATAGATCTCATTAGACTTTGTGGTCTTGGCCTCATATGATAAACTTCTGTATTTTACTTCCTGGTGTAGGCTTACTGTGATGGCCAGAACCAATGATATTGAACATTATTAATCCTTAAATATTAGGCCTAGTAAAAGCTGATTGGCCTATGAAGGTATACACTTGGAAAGGATTTACATTGTCCATCCACAGGTAGATTTTTTTCTAGGTAGGGTAGGTGTTCATGAAAGAATGAACCTTCCCTTCTCTGGCCTTTTTCTTCTCTTTTGTCATGTGGCTCAAACACTCACTATATATTAAACACATCACCTTCTGTGTTATGATGCAGTGAAAAGGCATCCACCAAAGGCTCCACACAATAGCTCCACACAATCCAGGATTGCCAATATTTAAAACTATGAAATAAATAATTTTTTAGGTTTATATTTATTTTCATTGTGTATATTTACATGTTATGGTGTGTATTTTTGCATATGAGTACAAGTGCCCAAGAGGGCCAACATAAGTGGTTGAATTACCTTGACCTGGAGTTAGCAGGCAGTTGGGAGCTGCCTGATGTGGATTTTGGGAACTGAACATGGGTCGTCTGCAACAGTAGTATACACTTTAAACTGCTGAGCCATCTCATAATATATTAACACTATAAATTAAGTAACACCAGATATTTTGTTATGGCACTAAAAAGAGATTAAATATCCTAATACTTGTGTGTCACTCACCGTCAACACTACACATCATTATTGATAATTTTCAGTAATTTCATGTCAAGTATGTCTAAATGTATTGTTGAACCGACATATTCTGCCATATTTAGGATTTTAATTATCTAAGGATAGCTACACTCAGTGCTGCATGAATCAGTTTCTATTTTTTTTTTTTTTTTTTTTTTTTTTTTTTTGGTTTTTCGAGACAGGGTTTCTCTGTGTAGCTTTGCGCCTTTCCTGGAACTCACTTGGTAGTCCAGGCTGGCCTCGAACTCACAGAGATCCGCCTGGCTCTGCCTCCCGAGTGCTGGGATTAAAGGCGTGCGCCACCACCGCCCGGCTCAGTTTCTATTTTTAAAAGACCTACAATTTAAGAAATATTTTCTAGCAATCTTTTTATTTATGCTCAGAGTTTAGGATGTGTGATTGAGAAAACCCTGGATTCTTGAAGAATAACTGGCTCTCACAAAGCTTTGCAGAATGATATCAGAAGTTCTTATTTAACTTAGTGAAAACAGAGAATCTTAAGTAAACCAAAACCCACCAGTCTCTGCTGATAGATCAGGGCATAGAAGCCCAGAAAACTTCAATTCTTTGTTTATTGGATCTATTTTTATACATTTAATTTGCCTTAATAGTCTGGTTTCATAACTACAATTCATGCTTATCCTGTTTTGTCTAGTCTCATAACCTTTGACACATTGCTCAAGGCTATAGACTCTCTGATCTTTTAACAAGCTATGCACTAAATGTCTGCAAAGAAATCCTCCATGTCTGTGGGCTTATTGTCTTTAATTCTTAGATGCATGTGTTGTTGACCTAAATTTTCTTTTGTCTTTTATTTTCTTTCTCTTCTCTCTCCCTGCCACTATGCCATGCTATTTGCCCCCCTTCCTGTGTTCTCTTCTTTCTTTTTCTTTTTCTTAGTTTTTCTCAGACAGGCCCAGGCTTTCATGGAACTCACTCCTATACCCATGGTTGTTCTCAAACTCAGGGGAATGCTCTTATCCTAGCTTCTCAACTTCTGGATTTATAGGTATGAGTCACCACTCCCAACTCAGAGGTCCTTTCTACTTCCATAAATATTGGACATTTCAGATGTGATAATGGGTTAGGCTTTCTTTTTATTTCCCAGTAGAATTTAAGTGGATTTGTGAATATAGAAACAGCATTACTAGAACATTTTTACCAACCTTCAACTGAAACTCTCTATTGAAACATGTGAACATTAATTATTTGTCTGAATTACTTTCATTCTGTGGTTATTCAACCTGAAAAACTGACAGACAACTTGAAGAAATAAAGATATCTAGGTTCACATAATTTGCAGGTATTTGATAGTGCCAGAAAGGAGGGTTTAATGGTTTGACCTTATAGTTCTTTCCTTTCTATAACAAGCTTTCTTACACTTACTGTCAACCTTCGTTGACCTATGCAGATATATCTTCAAGAACTGGAACTTGAAGAACTTAAGGAATGAATTACACTACTATCTATAATGTTACAGAAAATAATACTTCAGTTTCAATGTACTTTATACACAACTGTAACAATCAAAACAATGATTCAAGGAATGTTGTTGGGTTTCAGAAATACATGATCAGGAAAAACAAGGAAATAAACACCAGTAATCACATATTAAATATTAGCAGAGCCACCCTTTCCCAGAATTTACTCAGGACAGGTCAGTTTTAACATGTACTATAGATTTTATCAGGGAAAGCACAAAAGCACACCAGAAGGCCATATCCAGATTCAGGATACCCTGAGGAGAGCCCTAGGAATATCCTTTTACCAGATTGGGTTCTATAGCTTTGTCCTGACATGCAACAAAAATAACATGTCTTATAAATTGAATTTAAGTGTTTGTTGCAGGAAGTATGAAATCATGTCCAAGAACAATCCAGGGAACAAATACACTTGAGGTAAAAGGCCCTCTCATCTTTTCCCTGGAACTTCTCTCACAGTTCCCCAAGGCCTTGTTCATAATGTGTCAATCTTTTGATCACATTTTAGCACTCACTGTAAAGAAATCTATGTAACCAGATGATTCTCTCCTGCCTGCAAGTTCCTGAATATTCATTGAGAGACTTATATTAATTATAAATCCTTGGTCGAAGGCTCGGGCTTATTACTAGCTAGTGCTTACATTTAAATTAATCCATATTTCTTATCTATGCTTTGCTATGTGGTTCGTGGCTTGTTACCTCATTTTCTACACATCCTGCTTCCTTGGCAGCTGACTGGCATCTGCCGTGACTCTGCTCTTCTTCATCCCCATCTTAAGTTCAATTGTATCACTTAACCTTATTCTGCCTGGCCATTGGCCAAAACAGCTTTATTTATCAACCAACGAGAGCAACACATATTGGGTTGAGAGCAACACAGCATACAGACAGACATTCCACAGCATATGTATGTATGTATGTATCTGTGTATGTGTGTGTATGTCTAACTGTCTACCTACATACCTATCTGTCTATTTACCATCTAGAGAAAGGGTTTCATGTATACCAGGATGGCTTCAATATTGCTTTGTAGTAAATGATAACCTTGATTTTCTGGTCAAACTTCCTCTACTTTCTGAGTTCTAGGATAATAAATGTCTGCCATAAATTTTTTGTATGGTTCTTGAGAACAAATGTAGGACTTTGTATACACTAGGCAGACACTGCAACAACTGAGCCACATATAAATACCTGTCTACCTCATTTTCGCTAGGTATATATCTCAAGCTAAATGTTGTTTTTGTTTTGGGGGGACCAGTCCAATAACAGCAGAGATCCTCAGTGATTTGCTACAAATATTCAGGCCAGGATCTGTTTGTATACATGTTCTGCCTGACCAGCCAACCTTCATCCTTTCTAGTAGGCTGGTTCTTCTTTGTCATGGTAGTTAGTTAAAAAAGCAGATAGAGCAGATATGATGATATCCCTAACTTAGAATTTAGTTTCAGATTAAAACACAGGCCTTTCTTTCTCTATCAGCTTATTGACTTTAGTCCATAGGAATGAAATGTATGAAACTTTCATTCACTATGTAAGGTGAAGTTGATTCATACTGTTGCTTCTACATCTTAAAACACACATTTATCCTTAAATATCAGAATTGTCAAGCTGACCAACAGTCAGAAAGATAGATGGACATCCACACACACACACACACACACACACACACACACACACACCCAGTCTCTCTCTCATATACACAGGCAGAGAGAGAGAGAGAGAGAGAGAGAGAGAGAGACAGAGACAGAGACAGAGACAGAGAGACAGAGACAGAGACAGAGAGACAGACAGAGACAGAGAGACAGAGAAACAGAGAGAGAGAGAGAGAGAGAGAGAGAGAGAGAGAGAGAGAGAGAGAGAGAGAGAGAGAGAGAAAGCATTCTCACAGGAGTCAGAATCATACTGCTATTTGTTTTGAGCCAATTGAAACCCGTCTATAAATCAACAGTTAAATCAAGGACAATCACATAGAGAGGGACCATGTGTGCCCTCTGTATAGCACTCCACTTGACTATTTCTTAATCACTGCCGAACTGAGGAGGATTGGATTGTTAGGATTGACCTGTTTCTAGGAAATCTCCAATGAAAGACTTTCTCCCTCTCACATAGCACTTTGTTTTCTCATGCCCACCCATCATCCGAGTCCTCGCAGTCATGCAGCTGCTCAGACCCAAATGAACACACATAACTGCATGGTCATGGCTCAAACTTCTCACTAGCTAGATCTTACATCTTAAATTAACCCATTTCTATAAATCTATATTTGCCACATGGTTCATGGCTTACTGGTATCTTTACATCTTGTTTCTCATGTTGGGGACTGGCAGTGTCTCCTCTGTTCTGCCTTTCTCCTTCCTGCTCTCTACTTAGAATGTCCTGCCTAACCCAATTCTGCCTCAACATTGGCCAAACAGTTTTATTTATCAACCAATCAGTGTAACATGTTTTCACAGCATACAAAAAGACAGTTCCCCATCACTTCCCCTTTTCTTTCTAAACAAAAGGAAGGTTTTAACTTTAACCTAGTATAATTACACACATCAAGCAAAAATTACAGTTACAGTGTCTAGTCTATTTGTATTTTGTAAAATTAAAGAAAATATTTTATCTATCCTATATTTGTGAGTCTAAAATATCCTATCTAATTTATCTTTTCTTCTTTTTGGTTTTTTTTGAGACAGGGTTTCTCTGTGTAGCTTTGCACCTTTCCCTGAACTCACTCTGTAGCCTAGGCTGGCCTTGAACTCGCAGAGATCTGCCTGACTCTGCCTCCCAAATGCTGGGATTAAAGGCATGCGCCACCACCGCCTGGCCTAATTTATCTTTTATCATAACTAAGGAAAACCATAACTATAACTATCTACTTTTCAACTACATCATTGACCTCAGAAGGATATAATATTACCTAAGTAAACAGGAAGAGCACTGTAAGCAACTTTCAAAAATCTAGAATGACAGAGACAGCTGCCTGCCTGTACAGTCATCCAAAGTTCCTCTGTAATGCTGGGGCATCCATCTTGAGCCTATAGGCTTAGTGTCTCAGTCACTTTTTCATGAGTCCTGTAGAATGTCTAGCAGTTTCTTCTGTGAAGCAGGAACCTGAAGGACCATCTTGCTTTGCAAAGTTCAGTGGTCACCTTTCTTTGGGTCCTGCATGTCCAGTTGATACAGCATTTTGTCAAGCAGTCCAGGCAAGAACAGTTTCTTTCCCAAATGGCTATTTTTGCCAAGAAGAAGATAAACTCCATACAGAGTCTCTTCAATGCCCATCTTCCTGTCTGAAGTAAATAGGTGCTGCCAGGAGCAGACGTGTCTCATTGTCCAGAAATTCTAAGTTTTTAAAACATATTAAATGCCATATTCTGTAGGTCTTGGAAGTGTTTGAAGATTACCTACCTAACTGAATTATATCTATGTATACCTAGAATATTAACATGACTATAAATTTGACTATCATAGAAGACTAATTATTAATCTGTATTTCTTAATTATCCATTACAATTTAAATGAGTTATGTAAACATAATACCTTAAATGAGAGTAGAAATACACATACAGTATAACAAAATTAACTTTAAATTTGTATCAATAAACTAAAATCCATAGCAATGTAAAACATATTTAAACAAGTTGCTCTTTAAAAGTAGATTCAATAATCTGTCCTTTCATCATATCATGTCTATGTCATATCCCCCTTTTTACCTTAGAAAGATATTGACTATGACCAATAACAATTTGTAACTAATAATGTAAACAAAGACAAATATCCATAATCCATTTTCTAGGAATGTGGGCATAGTTTTCTAGGCTACTTCTTGCTGATAAAGGGCGCTGTATTCTTATGGGGATCTTGAGAAAATTGAGAATTATGGTCAAGTCCTGACTGGAGTAGTTTGTGACACTGTATTCTCTGAGCCAGTTGCCTGGATGTTGGATCACCTGGGCCATGGTGTCATTGGAGAACTTTCAGGGGGTCTTGACTGGTCAAACCTGATGTATCTTAATCTAGAACAAATCCTCTCTTGCTTCCCATGGAAACAAAAACAGACCCTCCTTTCCAAAGCAACATATCCTTAGATCTAAATTTTGAAGTCAAGATACCTTAATTTAGCAGCCTTTACAATCAAATGTCTTTCTGCAGTTAAAAATATCAAAGACAACATAACCCAGATTCTTTGTGTAATATCCATCTTTCCATGGCTTACTTTTATACGATTGTTACTGTCTCTTTAAAGAGTGTATTTTTTAAAATTATTTTGTTATATAACTGTCTATATTCATATTCTTCCTTCTTCCAAGCCTACATGTACATTTTTACACACACTGTAAACCATTTAAAGTTATGTTAGATCTGAGTTATTGTAAATCTATTGCTTTAAACTGCAGCATCACTAGGACTGAAATGGCAGCTTTGGCTGCTGGCTCTGCCCACCTCAGCTTTCCAACATGGTGGTGGTATGGTGGTACATTTATCACCAGCTCTGGGTCTGGGGGCTGTGTGTACCACCAACTATCAGAAGCAGTGGGTCTATGCCTCCATTAAAGCAGTGTGTAGCCCAGAAACCTTTAATTTTATTTTTTTGGTCTGAACTAGCAAAGGCTAAATCCACCACACAGCACATTGTGTGGCTTGGAGACACCTCTGTGTACTATGGCAGGAATGCACAGCCATGCTGCAGATCAAGCCCCCATGCCATGAACCCGCCATAGAGAAGCTGAAGCCCACAGGATGGCAGACAGAGTCTCTGTGTGTTCAGATTAAGGGCATGTGCTACCACCACCTGACTTCTGTGTATGGCTGGCTATGACCTCTGATCTACAGGCAAATTTTATTATCATACAAATAAAATATAATCACACCCTATCTCTATTTAAAAATGCAGTTTGCAATGTTTTTTGATCTATAAAGAACAGATGCCTGAAAGAATATTACTACAAATGCTGGCATCATAATATAAGGGTACAGCATAGTCCATGTCATAAGAACACATTTGTGGGTTTTTTTTGTGGGGGTCATAAATATGCATGCACTTTGCAGAAGCATATCAATACATATTCACTGCTGGTTTGTTTACCACTCTAGATGCAGTAGGGTCTGATACAATGAAGTCAATAAATTAGGTAGACTAGTCTCATGCAATATCTAATTTTATTCAGAACATCAGGCAATTTATACTCTGGGGGTTAACAAGAGTCACCTGAGTAAAGTATCCAAGGGTCTTTGTAATCTTTGTTTTGATATGCCTTAATGCCATTAATAATGTTTCTTACTGGTGCAATTCCTCTGATATTATTACTAATTTAGAGATACAAAATGTAAGGAAAATCCTTTGTAATTTTCTCTGAAATTATTATGTATGTTCTTTTATAACCCTTGACTTACACCCAATTCCTTCTTTTGATTGTTCCTTGACTTCCCTCAGTGATGACGGTTGTCATTCTAAGTTTCTCATATTTACAACTTCCTCCAGAGAGACCTAACCAGAATTGTCAAAGAGAATGACAATTTTGAGAGGTCTAAGACTAAAATCAAGTTTGAAGTGAACCCTTGATTGTGTTGTAATGATGCTGTGGGTGCTTTTCCATGTAACATCATTAATAGCATTTTTTAGCTATAAATATGGAATTGGTAGGGATATAAAGGGCATTTTCCCGGATCCTGTGTCATTGTTATTTGTGTTGTGTGGGTATAAACATTCAGTTGGATCTGTTCAGCTGGATATTATGTCATACAGGGTAGCCATCCTAACTATTTACTATGAGCACTATTGCTTTGTAGACACAAAGGTGAGAGTCCTTCCACTGAGGAGACACATTCATAGTGTGTGCTGCAATCTACAATCATGACTGAATCTCAGATTCTAAAATAAGTTTGAGCTGAGACACATGATCCAAGAGCAATGAAAAAAAAGTCCCAATCCTATAGTCTGTCTTCGAATAATAATTGAAACTCTCCAGTGAATCTCATGTGAGGATTCTGTTTTTGTTCTACTTGTCTTGATTTAAAATTCTTATTAATAGCAAGAATTGATGGGTTGAGTTTTTTTTTTCTGTAAATGAGAGATATAGTTTGAAATTGTCAGGAGTTAAACTTCAAAATTGCAGACTGTTAATTAACACATGAGAAATGAGAAGTGCGAGAGTGGCCAGTGAAGGCATAGCAGCCTTTTTCTCTTTCCTGCTTTCTTTCTTTCTTTCTTTCTTTCTTTCTTTCTTTCTTTCTTTCTTTCTTTCTTTCTTTCTTTCTTTCTTTCTTTCTTTCTTCCTTCCTTCCTTCCTTCCTTCCTTCCTTCCTTCCTTCCTTCTTTCCTTTTCTTTTTTCTTTTTTTGAATAAGCATTTAAACTAAAGTTGGAACCCTTGAATTTGATCAAACAAACACAAACAAACATGGAAACACCACTGCTGTGGATATTGCTCTGTATAACTAAAATGGTGATTGGCCAGTAGCCAGGCAGAAAGTATAGGCGGGCCAAACAAAAAAGAAAATTCTGGGAAGTGAAATGCTGAGGCAGAGAGACCTGCCAGCCGCCGCCATGACAAACAAGATGTAAGGTACCAGTTAGCCACGAGCCATGTGGCAACTTATAGATTAGTAGAAATGGGTTAATTTAAGATAAAAGAAGTAGATAACAAGAAGCCTGCCACAGCCATACAGTTTATAAGTAATATAAGCGTCTGTGTGTTTATTTTATAAAATGACTGCCAGGGCTTGGCGGGACCTGGAGACAAAACTCTCCAGCTACACACCACTTTGTTCTGGCACCTGTTTACACTCCAAGTGTTTGGCTGCCTCAAGAAACAGGTTTGTGAGTTGAAAGCCAATGTGGGCTATTAAACATAACCCTGTCAGAAATCAAAGAAATGAACAATCAAACAAACAAACTCCAAACATGAAATGAACAGCAACAAAAAGGCAAACAGGCATATCAACACTTGGCATAGTTCATTTTAATTTTTCTACGAAATGCAGGGACTCTGCAGTCAAACTTACTTGTAGTTAACTATAAACTCTAACTCACTATAGTGACAAAGTTAATGAATAATTTTAGACTGTTTTCCTTTATACTTTCTCACATGTAAAGTGAAAAATAATAGCTGTGTCTTTAAATGAAAGCTGTTGCTAGAATTTTGCATTTCTGTAGACTGTATAAATGTTATTGTGTTATTGTGAAGTCTCAATAAATGTGGTGATTTTTTTTTGTGCTCTAACAAATAAAGCTTGCCTGGAGATCAGAGTGTTGGGCTAGCCACTAGTTAACCATAGGCAGGCAGATGTGGCACACACCTTTAACTGTAGCCCTTGGCATCTCATGTCTTTGATCCTAGTACTTGGGAGGCACATGCCTTAAATCCAGTGCTAGTGAGGTGGAGATAAGAAGTGATATGGCTGGGTGGAGAGAGGAATATAAGGAGGGAGAAGACAGGAGCTTGGCCCTTTCAGGCTGAGGACTTGGCAAGGAAAGAAGGGGCTGTGGCTTGCTTCTTTGTCTCTCTGATCTTTTAGCACTTACCCTACCTAGTATCTGGCTCCAGGATTTTTTTATGATCAATTAGGATTTATACTACAAATAAATATTACCAGATTACAGAATTGAATGGATCAAAAGAACAAAACCACTGAAGAAGAAAAATCAAGTTTTTGCAAAGAAAGAAAATAAAATTATTTTTATCCCCATAATAATGTGTGGTATATTACGATAAATCTAAATTTTACTCGATCCATGTTTTCCTAGATTTTAAAGAGAAGAAAATATCATACCAGGTTATAAACTGGCATCTATCTGAAGATAAGCAAAAGGAAATTGATAATAGAAGACAACTCCTTGCAGAGGAATTAGTTCATTACAGGTAATTTGCTTCAATTCTTGGAACCAACTTATTGCTAATCAAGTCTTACAAATGGGGCGATGATGGTCACATGATGCTTTGAGTGAATTTAAGAGAAATGATGACTGGGAGGATTCATGGATGTGGGGATGGATTGTGTTTGAGTGGTGCATGGTGGATGACTGACAGCTCCATAAATGATGGGACAGTCTCTAGAAAGTGGAAGATGTGCCTTTTAGGCGTTAGTTTTTACTTGTCTCTGTGCATGTAGTCTCAATGAAGCCAGTGCAGTCACTTCAACTTCTTTATTTGGGGAAAGTGGAGCCACCTTCTTCCATGTACCTTGTCACCGTCTTACATAAGTTCCTTAATGGAGCAAGTCACTTATACAAGGCTGTGCCATGCTTTGGTCCTTTTCTGTTAAACCCATTTAAAAGCTTTCCTTTCTCCTTTTTATTCCAAACAATTTTTCTCACATGATATATCCTGATTGCAGTATTCCTACTTTCTATCCTCCCAATAGCTCCCCACCTGTGCTCCCACCCAGATCCACTCTATTTCTGTCACTCTGTCACTATTAGAAGCCAAATAATCTTCTAAAAGATACTAAAATATAATAACATAAAAGCAAAATATCACATCAGAGTTGCACAAGAAAAACAAAGAAAAGCAAAAGAGTGAAAGAGAAGGCACAAGAATCAGAGACCTGCTCTTGTACATAATCATAAATCCCATAAAATCATTAAAATGGATGTGTGTGTGTGTGTGTGTGTGTGTGTGTGTGTGTGTGTGTGTGTGAGCTGTCTCAGTCTCTCTGAGTTCATATGTGCTTTCCTCATGTTGATTTAGAGGTCCTTGTTTTCTTGATGTGGCCGAAACCCTCTGGCTCCTTCACGGCCTGCTATTTCCCTGGGATCCCTAACCCCCAAAGGGAGACATCCCAATTGGTGTTGAGTGTTCCAAGATCTCTCACACTCTCCATAAAATCTGGCTATTGGTCTCTATATTTGTTCCCATCTGCTACAGGTTGAAGCTTTTCTGATTATGACTGAACAAGGCCCTTATCTAGGAATATTGCAAAATGCCTTTAGAAGTCATTTCATTGCTACATTTTTTGTTTTGTTTTTTTAGACTGATATTATTTGGTTTTACCCTAGGTCCCTGGGCTATTTAGTCTCAGGTTCTTGCTTACTCATGCAGTGTTTGGTATGTTCCATCTCATGGAGTGGGCTTAAAGTCAAATCACTTAGTAGTTGGTTACTCCTACAAGCTTTGTGCCTCCACTGGACTAGCATATATTGCAGGGAGGACAACATTGTAGATCACTGGTTTTGTGACTGGCTTGGTGTTTATATTTTTATTTTGGTAGTATGCAGAGTATGTTTCTGTACCAAAGATGCTAGAACCTCGCTTTATATAGGCAACAGCTCATTTTTTCCATGTTCAATGGTCTGTGTATGTGTTGTCTTCAGCAATAGAACCTTGCTATCAGTTTGTGGACAGCAACCTAAAGTTTTGGTGACTGCATTGGTTGTTTGGGGAATTTCTGTGGGACCCCTCTGTCCAACATCTCAATTAGATTGACTCAATTATGATTCTGCAAGATCATTTGGTGATGAGAGATGGCCAGTTAGGACTCTGTCTCCCAAATCATTTGGCAATTTTACTGAGATCACCTTCATGTATGTATACATTTTAGCAAGTGTCTATTATGATAGGTTTCAATTCTATCCCTAAAATGTCCATTTATTTTATCTGTGTCTCCCTGTATTCCCTCCCTCATTAATCTCCTCCCACCCCACTTGATACCCCCATCCCAGACCCGCACTTCCAACAATAACTCTCTAGTCTATTTTCCTTTCTTCATGAGCTCTCCCCTTTCTCAGTGGTCCCTTACTCTACACCTAACCTCTGTGGTTCTATGAATTGTAGCTTGGTTATCATTGACTTAACAGCTAATGGCCAGAGGTTAGTTTAAAATTTTTCAATGGCTAGGTAATACAGATGAGCCTGAGGCTTTTAGTCTTTGACTACAGAACCTCCTTTGTGTTCCACATGGATGACAAGTACAGATTTGTTTCCTGGTTAACTTCATTGGTCTCACTCATCTCTGTCCTCGAAAATTCTACTTAATATTCCAGATGGTACTCACAGCACCATGATTCTTTTTGGAGATATTTCTTACTCACAAACCGAAAGATCACATATCTTTTGTCATATGTTTGAAAGAAGTCAAATTGCACCTTAGTCTAACATGGTTGTTATTTATTTACATTTTTGACATGTATATTGTATTTTCTTTTCAAGCTTGAACTCTTGAGGTGTGGTTCAAATTACAAGTAAAATACAGTCAAGTTGATGAGAATCGGAGCTTCTTGAGAATGTTGTAATTGATTTACTTTAAAGGAATTACCATTCTACTCCAGTTATTTAGCGATTATTATATAAAATATGTAAAAATGGAATTTAGGTGATAAATATGAATTATGCCATGTATCAATCTACATTCCATTGTTATAATAGAGTAACTCAATTTCGGTGAGTTTATAATGGAAAGAAGCTTATTTAGGTTACAGTTGTAGAAGTTCAAGCTCCTGGTGTCAACATCAGTCAGGTTGATTGAAAGCATCATGATAATAGCAACATAATGGCTAAAGAATGTGTGACTTGAAAAGTCAAGAGAAGAGAAAGAACAGGTTTATGTCTCCCACAGAAGTTAACTCAGAGTCTAATGAGGACTATTTTAACCATCTATAGGGTAAGGGTTTCTAATAACCTTTGACAAAGGTGTCCTCCTAAAGATCCCACTACATCTACACAGCCATATTGGGCACCAACTCTCTGATAGGTGAACCTTTGAAGACAAATGAACAGAGAGCCAAAAGCGTGTATATACCAATACATGTCAATTTATTTGTGAGTGCTAAGGGAAAACAGATCACATATACAGGACAAGGTAGATCCAGTTGCAGAATCCTTCCGTTTTGCCCATGGGTGAATTGAACCAGCCCTCTAGTCTCTGGCCACACCAAGAGAGAGAAGGTACACAGCCCTTGCTCAGTTAAACAGTCACATACCCCCAAAATCCATGCCTCTATCGTGCCAGATACCCCAAGGTCATTAGCAGTGTGAATTCCCACAACAGACAAACCACAGCTCTTGTGACTTGAAGTAGAGTTTAAAAGTGAGCAAAAATAAACCAGACTCTGGGCTCTCATGTTGTGGATCTTTTGATATCAGATGACATGGTGCACTTGTGCATCTTACCAGGTTGCTTATCTGCTAAGCATTGATGTGAAAGGGTCCCTGGAAAAGTGCTATGGGGGAAGAGTCATCAGTACAATGACTAAAGTTGAGGACAGTATTCAGTGTCAGTTTGAGCAGTAGGAGTTGTAAATTCTAACAATGAGCTTCCAATCACACTTCTTCCCATTAAGAAGTTAAGTTTGTATATAAAGTAATTGGCTTTGATATCAACTTTTTAGAACACATAAATGTCTGTATCTTTTGTTCTGGGTTGCCTGATTCCTCCATAGCAGTGTTCCATGACACACGTATCTCTTTTGATGACTTTTTTATGTGCTCTCATTGCCTCCTTTCTAATTTCATCATCGAAAAGGGAAACACACACACACACACACACACACACACACACACACACACACACATTTAAGTTTAGGTTTCATATATAAGAGAAAAAAAATCTGTGGGTTTTATATTTATTTTTCTAATTGCTTAGTTTCTAGGCAGGAACTTGAATCATGATCTCCTTGTTCCAATATTATCATTGGAAAGTTCCCTTTGTGGGATAAAATATTCAAGCCAAGATATGCAGGATTAAAAGAAATTGTGGGAGGCCAGCTCTCACCTTTTAAAGGATTCCTATGAGGAGGAAAGAGGAATTAGAAACATTTTAGATAGAAAGATAGCAAAGAGGAGAAAGACAGAAATACAGGATAGCTTTGGGAGGACCTGGATCAAAATCCAACAGCCCCTTCTACCACTTCAAAGGCTCTTTTTATAACAATGTCAAGGGGCATGGAAAAAGACCTCCCGCTTGCCATCAAAGCACACTGCACAGCCAAGTGTTGACCCTTCCAAACACCTGGTAACCATGCCTGTGGTCTAATCATTCCCTTATGCAGCCCTGCTGCCTAGAGCAAGCTCAGATCTCACTAGGAAACCTCTCTGGGTTTCCACAAGAAATGACTTTAACACTGATGATTATAGAAGATGTAACCATGCAACTTACACAGATTGGCAAGAGAGCAAGATTCTCAACAACAACAAAAATCATTATATAATGTGAAGTAAACAGCATTATACACCTTCCCATGGAGATTGATACTCTGAGATACACTATAATCATTGATGGCTTCTAAGACAGAAGAAAATAAATTAACACTGATGATGAATGGAAATAGACTCTTAGAGGAAATGTGGTGGAATAAGAAATAGTCTGGGTAGCAGAGCTATATCTATATCAGAATGACTAAAGCTGAAGGTTTTGAACAACAGCTGTAATTCACATGGAAAGGTGGTGCAGCATTATCACCTGGAATATCCTCCCCTGCCTCTGATAAGCAAGTATCATTAAGAAGAAAATAAATATCTCCCTGTAGTAAGGAGATGAATAGAAAATGAATTCCTATGGGCTTATTTATTTTTAATTAAAAATACTTTATTTTATGAAAAACAATATGTTTTACATATTAAGTAACACTATAATTTGTGTAGTGTTAAACAGGAAGGAAAAAAATTCAAGCCATAGAGCCTCTTCTCATAAAATATATTAAAAATAATTTTATTCTAAGTGAGTTAGGGCTTAATTTAGTCCAGCCTGCTGTCCTCAAAGTCATAAGTGTATGACAAGGCTTGAACTTCTGATACTTCTGTTTCCATTTCCAGAGTGTTGGATTATAGGTTTGTGTTTGTATAGCTGTGAAATACTTTAATTGAGTATAACAGTCTTCCAAATAGTATGAAGAAGCTCTTCAAAATATTTGTTGTTACTTTCTTTTACAGGTCTACCCATCACACCAACATAAAGATCTTTGAACACTATGTGGACTTATGCAGTCACTTACTAAGCAGAAAGGACATCATGGACTCCTTAAGGAATAAGAATTTTGACCTGTTATTTTTAGATGCAGCAGATCCTTGTGTTTTTTTGATTGCTGAGAAACTTGGGAAACAATTTGTGGCCTTTCTTCCCACGCTATTTACCATTATAGACTATGGGCTACCAAGCCCTTTGTCTTTTGTCCCAGGATTTGGTTCCAGTTTAAATGACCAAATGTACTTCTGGGCCAGAGTGAAGAACTTCCTGATGTTCCTTGATTCATCCATGAAGCAAAGAGAAATACTTTCTCAATATGACGGCATCATCCAGGAGCATTTTGCAGAAGGCTCTCGTCCAGTTTTGTCTGACCTTCCACGGAAAGCAGAGTTGTGGTTTGTCAGCTCTGACTTTGCCTTGGATTTTGCTCATCCTGTGCTTCCCAACATCATCTATGTGGGAGGTTTAACAGACAAACCTGTTAGACCAATACCTCAAGTGAGTGAAACCTTAGCTTTCAGTTTATCTTTCATTCAGAGGTGTGCAGTGCTTAGATGGTGTCTTAGTTAGGGTTTCTATTGCTATAAAGAGACGCTATGACCACAGCTACACTGATAAAGGAAAACATTTAATTTGGGTGGCTTCCAGGTTCAGAAGCTTAGTCCATTATTATCATGGTGGGAAACATGGTGCCATATAGGAAGACATGATGCTGGAGAAGGAGCTCAGAGTTCTACATCTTGATCCACAGGCAACAGGATGTCAACTGTGACATCAGGCAGAGCTGAGCACAGGAGACCTCAAAGCCCACCCCTAGAGTGACACACTTCCTTCAACAAGTCCACACTCACTACTACAAGGCCATACCTCCTAATGGTACAACTCTTTTTGGGTGCCATTTTATTTCAAACCACCATAGGTGGAAATTGTCTCTTGGGAAGACATCCTGCAAGGAAGTACTCTAAGGCAACAGAACTCTGAGTCTACATTTTTTTGGATTGTGATAGCATACTGTTAGAATACCCCATGCTAAGTTTGAATACCTGGTTAGATGGTACAAAATGTGAGTTTGTTTTGTCTCTCTCTATTCCTGGCTGTGATGGAACAACCTCTTTAGTTAGTATTGCTATTTCCAATTGAATATATATATATATATATATATATATATATATATATGTATGTATATATGTGTGTGTATGTATTAAATACAGTGAATGTCAATATACTTAGAATGTGTTAAGGAGGCGGGTTCTTCATAATGAAACAGATAATACTTTCAGAAGGCATGTTCCTAGATAGAACTTAGCACTAGTGAGAAGAAGAACGGCTTCTGTTATTCTGTGTCCCCAGCCTGTTGAGCCATTGATACTTCATCCAGCTACTGTAAACCATCAAAGTTACCATGTAGTTCACATTTCTATGCAGGCTCAGAATCACTATCACTGAATATTTACAAGTACAGTGAACTAAGGATGTTATATTGTGTGTTCCCTGTCACTCTGAGGTTACCTCACACATGATAGGAGTACAAACCTTTGATTTAATACATGGTGCCCAAGATGCTGAAGTGATGAAGATGTTATTTGTCCTGTGTTCAGATCAAAGCATAAAGGGTAGGGATTTGTTCTGGCTCTGCTGGGTACCACAGTGCTATATTTCCTTGTAGTTTGTGAGAATAAGGGTTTGGGGAGTGATCAGTAATATATATAGATATATATCTATATATCTATATATATCTATATCTACATCTATATATATCTGCTTTATATTAATCTTTACAAAGATCTTTACATTGGTGTCATGGTTGGACTTTAAAAAAATAACAACAAATGTTTTGAGGAGCTTTATCATACTGTTTGGAAGACTATTATATTCAATGATTATATATATGGGCTTTAGATAGAGTCCCCTGAAACCCAAGTTGGTGGAATAGGGTTACAGTATACAGGTTTGGGGTTCTCTGACTGATTCTTTATGTGGTAGAAGATATTTCACATTTATAAATCCAGATGTTATTGCCAAAGACCTCACCTTCTGGACAGATGGGTCAAATATTGGCACACAGAGAGATGAAGAGATTGTTAAAAAGTGGGAGGAGCCGGGCGGTGGTGGTGCATGCCTTTAATCCCAGCACTCGGGAGGCAGAGCCAGGCGGATCTCTGTGAGTTTGAGGCCAGCCTGGTCTCCAAAGTGAGTTCCAGGAAAGACACAAAGCTACACAGAGAAACCCTGTCTCGAAAAACCAAAAAAAAAAAAAAAAAAAAAGTGGGAGAAAATGTTTCAAAATAATACATGACACAAGAGTCTGGAATCTACTTTATGGAATATTCCAATACTTGTTTTGTAAGAATTAAGTGAGAAGCAAATAGACTGTGGTGGTTGCTAACGTAAGGGAAATCAGACTTTATATCAAAACTCTCAAAGAAGTTTAAAGTCTACATATATTTGAAACTTTGTGTTTATGAAACATTGCAACTATAAAAATATTACTTAAAATATGTGAAATAGTTAACTTACCGAGAAATATGTCATCTATGCACAAACTATGAAATAAAGACTATGAAGAAAAATGTAAGGAATTTAAAGAAGAAATAAATAATAACTTAAGACTTCAATTCTACAGTTTTAGAATTAGATGACTATCCATATAAATTATTACCTTGAATAATACTATAGGCCCAATAGAATTATTAGAAATATATAGAGCATGCTTAAAATGTGTTTGTAAGTGACTTTATGCGCCTGAGTACTTGCCCTGCATGTATGTGTGTGCATCATGTTCATGAAAGTGCCCAGAAGAGGCCAGAAGAGGGCGCTGGATCCCCTAGAGCTAGAATTACAGAGATTTGTGATTGCTCTGTGGGAACTGAACTGTGGTCCTCTGGAAGGAAATCTGCTGAACCATCTGTCCAGTTCCGAGTTTTCATTCCAACAACAGCAGAGCACATATTCTTCTCTAATGCACAAAACAAATCCCTTAGTTCATGTGTTAGCCCATGCCACACACCCCCCCCACCCCCACCCCCAACCCAAACCTGAGATTTGCAAAGTCTCAGATTAATGTAAATATCTCTTACCACAGTGGGGTGAGTAGAAAACAACATAATGTAAATTCAAAGGGAAAAATCAAGAGGAATATTTGAAAATATTACATACCAAGGAGAAGGAGACAAAATACAATGGAATGATGGAGTGCAATAAAAACAAGACATAGGCCGGGCGGTGGTGGCGCACGCCTTTAATCCCAGCACTCAGGAGGCAGAGGCCGGCGGATCTCTGTGAGTTCGAGGCCAGCCTGGGCTACCAAGTGAGTTCCAGGAAAGGCACAAAGCTACACAGAGAAACCCTGTCTCGAAAAAACCAAAAAAAAAAAAAAAAAACCAAAAAAAAAAAAAAACAAGACATAGGATATAATTCATAGCTACTATTATATCTATTAGTACAGCCAAGGTATTTGCAATTGATAATCTAACCCTTCAATATAAGGCAGAGATAATGAAGACATGACTAAACAGGACGCTAGCAGAAAGAAGGGGCATAAAAGAATCAGGGTATAGATGATTGAAATAACGAATAGACAAATTTAGAATCAATAAAATCAAAAGAGTATTATGCTGAAAAAGAGATAGGATCATTAAGAATATAAATAAGAAAGAATAAGAAAATAATTAAGTTCTAAAGTAAAAAATTATCCACTCTTACTTAAAACAATAAAGATTATAAGGGAATTATACAAACATGATATATCATCAAATTAGGTGATCTACATGAGTGAACATATTCCTATGCAAGACTGTTAACATAACTGACTCAAGAGAATATAGAAAATCTTAAAGTTATGGGGTTAAATTAGACTGATCAATAACAAAGTCTTTCATTAAGGAAGTCTGACATAACATGGATTAACTGGTGAATTAAGTGAAACACTTAAGAATGAATGCCAGTTCCTGTATGATTATTTGTGGCACCTCCACAGGAAGGAATGCTTCTCAACCCCTTCTTTGAATCTATCATTACTATGTAACCAAAGCTAGAAAACAACACCAGAAGAGAGGACATTATGCCACACAGCAAGTGAAGAAATTTTGTATACTGAATTTCTAGCATGAATATAAGATAATTCATATGATGTCAAAAATAGTTAGGAAGGTCCTCAAGTTATTAAACAAAAAGAATGCCCTTAGCAATTAGATTACTCTGGAGCTTACATTTTAAGCAGTAAAAGTCAGTTATTCAAATAAAATCTGGTGAATGTATTTGCTTGGAAGAGCAATCCATAAGAGCCCAAAGGTGTAGCATGAAACTTAAAAGGTCTTCTTGATAAAGACAAACTTCTAGCCAGGTATTGAGGTGAACGCTGAATGATCAGAGAAACAGAACAAATCATCCAACCTCACCTTGTCAGTTCCTTAGCTCACCTTGTTTCCTCAGACTGAAAGCCTCTGAATCCTCATCCGAATGGATCTCAGTTGAACTGCTGCTAAAAGCTAAAAGCTTAAAAAGGCTCTAATTCCTGGTCCTCATGCCTTATATACCTTTTTGCTTCCTACCATCACTTCTTGGGATTAAAGGCATGTGTCACCATGCCTGGCTGTTTCCAGTGTGGATTTGAATTCACACAGGTCCATATGTATCTCTGCCTCTGGAATGCTAGGATTAAATGTGTGTGTTACCACTGCCTAAACCTATATTGAATATACTGGCTGTTCTGTTATCTGACCCCAAGATAAATTTATTGGGGTACACAATATATCAAACACACAAAGTTGAAGAGATGGCTGCTATTCAATGCAGTAACTACTCCAGAGACAGCTATACAGGGGCTATGATAGGAGTGTTATCATATAGAACACAAGCAAGCAAGGTATGGGTTTATTTAACAACTGGTCTTGTTTCATGTTATAGCTGCTTTAACAAACCACTTTTTTCAGATTTCTTTATGTTTCTTCTAGGACTTGGAAGATTTTATCATTAAGTTTGGAGACTCAGGTTTTGTCCTTGTGGCACTGGGCTCCTTAGCAACCCTGTATCAGACAAAGGAACTTATTAAGGAGATGAATAGTGCCTTTGCTCACCTCCCTCAAGGGGTGCTGTGGGCATGTAAGGATGCTCATTGGCCCAAAGATATCAGTATGGCTCCAAATGTCAAAATCATGGATTGGCTTCCCCAGACTGACCTCCTGGGTAAGCACCTTCTAGACCTGTTACTTTATTTCTGTTAATGTGCTTTGGGACTTAATAGATAACTGATGTCTGAGTGCTTGGACTTGCAGAAGAAAAGGCTGCTGATGGGTGAAGATATATGTCCAGCAGGCAGGTAGAAGCAGCTAAGTTTCTTGGGAGAATCAGCCTGTGCTCTAGACTGGCCATAGCAACAACTTCCTCATCCTTTTCAACTCAGACAGATCTCAGTTCCCTAAATAGATATGTAGCCTTGACTTAAGAGTATTTACCATTGATCACTCCAACACAATCTTGACCAATATGTGATCTATAACTACTCCTTGGGCAGGTGCCACCATTTGTTGCTGCTATTCTCACAGTGATGTGAGAAATCCTTGGTATTTTTAAACACACACACACACAAATATATGTGTAAGCATGCAGACACATCTTGGTTGTCAGCAGAGCTGAAAACTCAGACACTTACAACATGGATGTTGTGGGGTTGAGGACATAAGGAGATATTTGAGTACCACAATACGTAAGCTCACAATACAATATGGAGACACTGGTTTCTTGAGCAATGGAGTATTCCCTAAAGCCACCTCCCCTCAAATTATTTGTTTCTGTGTGATTTTATGGATACACTTTTCTACACTCAGTGGCTGAATCTGATTTGTACTTAAAACTGTGCCTCAAAAGAAGCTGGGAAATCACAGGCTACACAATAGGAAAAAGACTTGCTTTCCAGGGAAAATGGGTAGATTTTGAGTGAGGTATAGTTTGGGATGATTTCTTTATGATCATAAGAAATGTTTGGTAGCTTTCAATATGGAGCAACAGATACAACCTGTAAATATGGAAGTTTCTGTTCTACCATCCCCTTCTGTAAGCTTCTCAAAACAGAGCTGATAACACCCATGATATAGACTTACATGAGATCAGATGTGAAAAGCGAGAGAAGGCCAAGGTTAGACAAGTGAAGAAGAAAGCATCAGTGGAGAAGATGAGGATGAGTAGAAGGACAAGGAAACTTGCCTCGCTTGTCACTTTTCTTGTAGCTGTCCCTGGGTTCTAGGCCCTAGATAGATTTTGGCTAATGTAAATCATCTCTCTGCAGAGAGAAGGCTGGGTATCATATCCTGGAACATTGCAAATCTCTAAAGCAACATCAGTAAATCCATTCTCCCCAGCACATTGGCATTTCCTGGATCTGCTGCTTTACCTGGAATCTGCAGCTTTGATAGTGACGTATTGGACCGTGTTTCTCTTTTGCAACAGCTCATCCTAGAATTCGTCTTTTTGTTACTCACGGGGGAATGAATAGCATAACGGAGGCCATCCAGCATGGAGTACCCATGGTGGGGATTCCCTTTTTAGCAGACCAACCTGAAAACATGGTCCTGGTAGAAGCAAAGAAAATTGGTGTTTCTGTTCAGCTAGAGACACTCAAGGCAGAGACATTTGCACTTACACTGAAAAAAGTCATAGAAGACAAGAGGTATGCAGCTCTTTGGGGTTGGGGTACCTTAGCCTGAACACATGATCTGTATAATCTGTTTATCAATGAAACAGAATTTTGTGGGATGTGTTATAATACATGTGTGATACCTGAAAGTCCTGATTTTCCTTTGTTTTTAATTTTAATTTATGTGAGGTACTGAGAATATGCCTCTACCTGATGTGGTGTGATGATTTCTTATATACACATTATCTTTATTTTTTTTCACTTTTTAAAATTTTTCTATTATCAGTATAAATCTTGATACAATATAAATTCTTATCCTAATTGTGAAATGTTTCATTGAGTCTTGTCCAGTAATTGAGTAAAACCAAAACTTATTATAAGCCACAGTCATCCTAGGGTCCCCCCTGCCATATAGCCTCCCGGGTCCTGTGGGTTGCAGTCTGATTGTTCTTTGCTTTATATCTATAATCCACTTATGAGTGAGTACATACCATGTTTGTCCTTCTGGGTTTGGATTATTTTTTCTAGTTCCATCCATTTGTCTGCAAATTTCATGCTGTCATTTTTTTTTCTTGCTGAGTAGTACTCCATTGTGTATATGTACCACATTTTCTTTATCCATTCTTCCATTGAGGGGCATTTAGGTTGTTTCCAGGTTCTGGATATTACAAATAGTGCTGCTATGAACATAGTTGAGCATGTATCTTTGTGGTATGATTGAGCATTCCTTGGGTATATGCCCAAGAGTGGTATGGCTGGGTCTTGAGGTAGATCGATTCCCAGTTTTCTGAGAAACTGCCATACTGATTTCCACAGTGGTTGTACAAGTTTGCATTCCCACCAACAGTGGAGGAGTGTTCCCTTTGCTCCACATCCTCTCCAACATTGACTATTATTAGTGTTTTTGATCATAGCCATCATGACAGGTGTAAGGTGGTATCTCAGAGTCTTTTTGATTTGCATTTCTCTGATGATTAAGGATGTTGAGCATTTCTTTAAATGTCTTTCAGCCATGATCTCTTATATTTTGGATATCTATAATAGAATTTCAATAGAGGCAGGAGAGATCATTTGCATGTTCTTTAGGTGGCTAATCTCCCTGACTCATCATTTACCTAAAGAATTCCAATTGTATCAGAAGTTGATGGTCTTATTACTATTGTATTGCTGTGAAAAGGTACCATGACCAAGGCTACATGTAAGATAAAGCATTTATTTGGGTCTTGCTTACAGTTTCAGAGGGTTAGTCCATGATCATCATGGATGTGACTGTGGCCACAGGCATGGCACTGGAGCAATAGGTGAGAGCTTACATCTTGATCTGCAGGCAGGAGGCAGAAAGATCAAGACTAGGCCTGGTGTAGGCTTTTTGAAACAACCCAGTGACAAACCTCCTCCAATAAAGTTACAGTTCTTAATCCTTCCTTAACAGTCCACCAACTGAGAAGCAAACATGCAAATATTGTGGCTATGGGAGCCATTCTACTCAAACTACAACAAGGACAATTGCATGTCCTTAATGGGCTGACCTTCCCTCCTCATGGTCTTTGTGTTGAACTCACAGAACCATCTCTCCAACGTTATCCTCTTAGGAGAACATGTTTTTGGCTATTACTTTTTCTGTGCTTGAGCTCACTCATCACATACTAATTTCTCTTTAACACTTTGAAATATTTGCAATATCTCCATCATGTGTGTCATTATTTATCAATGGCCTTATGGAGAGCCTGCTCCAAGACCGCCTCCATGGTAATGCAAGAAAATACACAAAGGCAGCAAGGACTAGGCTTTGTCTATCCGAGGGTATTTAGAAATCAGTTCTTATCTCTCCGGTAAAATAAGCAAAAACACATACTTTCTGATGTTAACTTTCTCTTTTACTTCATCTTAAAAATGACCTCTGATTCTTTCTGTCTCTGCATTCCTACATATCTCCACACTGCTACCTTCTATATGGACAGCTACATGTCTATCTTTACATGCATATGGCCATACATCACTGTACACAGTTATATCTGTTTTCACATGTCTACATATCTCCACACTGCTACCTTCTATACGGACAGCAACATGTCTGTCTTTACATGCATATGGCCATACATCACTATACACAGTTATATCTCTTTTCAAATGTCTACATATCATTCTTTACAAACATTTCTCTTCTATATCTCTTTTCAATACAGTTTCATTTTCCTAGTCTCCACACAGTTACAAATATCTTTGGCACAGTTATATCTACGCATTTATTCTCTCTACTCTGTTACATTCTTTCACATATTATTACATCGTTTATTAACTCTTTAGTCACTCATTCTTTCATTCATTCACTCTCTCGTCTTACTCACACTACTTCTTCTTCTCTGCCCAACTTTGGACAATTATATGTTACACTTTTCTTTCTGCCCATTCAGCTACATTTCTCAGTTAGCACATGCACCTACAGACACTCACACACTCACTTTTACCCTCTGCCCAGTTCTTACACTGTTTGTTCATATCGTTTGCCCTCATTCATTCTCTTACATTACCTAATGCTTCTTCTTCCTCATCTCTCATCCAGCACACACACACACACACACACACACACACACACACACACACACACACCTCACTCACATTCTGCATCAGTTCTCACATAACTCTACACAGCTGTCTCTCTCCATACTGCCGCTGCTCTCTTACGGCCAGCCAAACTCTTATAAGTTACATTTTCAGGGCCCTACCCATTCTCACAACACGAGGTAAGTCACATAGTCACATAGTTTTTCTTAGGCTAGTAATGTCACATTGATTGGTGCATGTAGCTCTAAGTTGGTGAGTTATCCCAGACAATAATTAAACACTTGGCTGAACCTTGAGCCTGTATATCTGCTGAGGCTGGGACTGTGTGCAAAGGGCCAATAACTGAGAAATATATGTGTAAAGTTGCTCAGTCTCTGACCTTGAATAAGCAAAACAACACCTGTAAAAACGGCTTCATGTATTTGTCTCTAGGGGCAAGCAGCCAGCTTTGAATCTGTTCTGAAGTCTAAAGTTAGCTGTCTGTGTAAAAGGCTATCTTTGTGACTGAGAATCCTATGTCAGTCTGAGTAATGTAAAATATCCTAGTATAGTTTCTATATATCAAAATTATACAGCTTAAGTAGAAATCAACTTTTTGACCATCCACAACTATATGTGTGCCAATAGATGGAATATATTCTCGAGACAAACACATAAGCAGTGGGAAAACACCCATAGCTGTTTTTAGGAAAGAAATACAGTAGCACATGAGAAAAATTACAGACAGGAGCAACTGGTCAATAATAGTAACTCCAGGGCTTTGTCAAGTGGGGCTTCCTACTAGGGAGTTGTATGTCTGTTGGGTTCACTTGTCAAACTTGTCAAAATTTGCAGACAAATTTCTAAATGGTCTTATCAAATAAAAAACTTGGAGCCAAATACAGGCGTGAAAGCCTTAGAGAGATCAGGGAAATAAGGAAAGCCACAGCAAACTTTACCTCACCAGCTCTGCAGCTTCCAAATGCGAGTTACTTCCTGTCTAACCACGGTTGTATGCCTTGTTGTTATGCCATCTGATTTGCTCTCTCTATTCAGCTACACCACTTCCTCTGCCTACACAGCTCTGTCACTTCCTGTCTGTCTGTACAGACATCCAGACCTCCATGGTAATTAGTTTTGGAATTTAAGGTGTATGCCACCACACCTGGCCCTGTTTCCAGTGTGGCCTTGAACACACAGAGATCCTGCCTGCCAAGTGATAGGATTAAGGGCAAGTGCTATCATTGCCTGATTTCTTTGTTTACTTATAGTAGCTGACCTTTTCCTCTGATCTCCTGGCAAGCTTTATTTATTGAAGCACACATAAAATATCACCACATTTCAGCACAAATAAAATATCACCACAAACACTAGTTGTCACCTGCTATATACACCCACAGCCCTTGGCAATTTGTGTCTATTGCACACTAGCATGTAGAAAGCATGCACCATGAGGATCAGTGAGTATCATTTTCCACTATGTTCCTAGGGCCCAGGACAGGCCTGATATAAAGGAAGTTTTCACAAATACAAAAACAGGTGACCCACATTTCCCTAGCCCATCTAGCACAATGATTTCACAACTAAACAGGACTAAATACTCAGGTTTCAATGTCCTAATCACTTAATCAGACAGACATCCTGTCATCTGTGTTGAAATATACTCAATGTGCATAGTGCAATCCTTACAGACATAGACATTTAAAAAAATTTCCCTTCCAGGGTTAATTTTGATCCTTCTGTATAAGGTTTTCCTTTTTATCTATTTATTGAACTTTTAGTTGTCAAGTATATGCCAGCAATTTTGTTTGAAGCTGATCTATGGGTCTATATTAGAAAAAGATGTGGCTATTGCAAAGCAGAGTGCTAGAGAGGTCCCCAGGAATCCACAAAGATGACTCCACTATAGACTACTGGCAATGGTCGAGAGGGTGCCTGAGCTGACCTACTCTGGTGATAAGATGGCCGAACACCCTAACTGTTATCATAGAAACCTCATCCAGTGACTGATGGAAGCAGATGCAGAGATCCACGGCCAAGTCCCAGGCAGAGCTCCAGGAGTCCAATCGAGGAGAGAGAGGAGGGATTATATGAGCAAGAAATATCTAAACCATGATTGGAAAAACTACAGATACAACTAGCCAAAGTAGTGGAAACACATGGACTGTGAACCCAAAGCTGAGGAGGCCCCACGGAACTGGACTAGGCCCTCTGGATAAGTGAGACAGTTGTTTAGTTTGAACTGTTTAGGGGGCCTCCAGTCAGTGAGATTGGGACCTGTCCTTAGTGCATGAGCCGGTTTTTTGGAACCTAGTGCCTATGCTGAGAAACTTTGCTCAGACTTTGTGCAGGGAGGATGGGCTTGGACCTGCCTCAACTGAATGTACCAGGCTCTGATGACTCCCCAGGAGAGACCTTGCCTTGGAGGAGTTGGGAATGGGGGTTGGGTTGGGTGGGGGAAGGCTGGGGGGTGGGAGGAGGGAGAACAGGGGAATCTGTGGTTGATATGTAAAATGAATAGAAAATCTCTACATAAAAAAAAGAAAAGAAAAAGATGTGTGTGTGTGTGTGTGTGTGTGTGTGTGTGTGTGTGTGTTATAAAGTCTGATGTACTGGCACAGCACACTGGTAACACACTCTCTCTGTGTCTGCCCATAGGTACAAGTCTGCAGCAATGGCCGCCAGGGCCATCAGGCGCTCCCACCCCCTGACACCTTCCCAGCGTCTGGTGGGCTGGATTGACCACATCCTGCAAACAGGGGGAGGAGCACATCTCAAGCCCCATGGCTTTCAACAGCCATGGCATGTGCAGAACCTGCTGGATGTCCTACTGTTCCTGTTGGGGCTCACTCTGGGCACCTGGTGGCTGCTGAAGACAATGCTGGGCTTGTTGCTCAGGTCCCTGGGTGTGGCCAGGAAGGAAAAGAAGGCATAATGTTAGGGTTGACCTGGGGGAGGATGTTGGGAACTCTGGCTCTTTAGAGGCCTCCCCATTCCCTCACACAAGGAACTCCCAGGGTTCTCCTCTTTCCCTCTTCCTGCCGCTGGACCTCCAGTTGTCCTCACTGTTTTCTGCCTCTTTCCTAACACTCATACAGTACATTGATTGGTGACTCCACTACCTGGATCCCCTTGCTCCTGTACAATCCTTCCTTTCCCAGCCATTTCTTCTCTTCACTCCTTTCTGCCATTGACAGTGTTATGACAGTTTCATCCTCTCTGGGACTTCCATTCTCTGACTCTAATTTCTCATATCATTTGAGTTAAAAACTCCAATTAGTTGACAAATTCTACTTACTCCTCTATTTTTTTAATCTTATAATCTCTCTTTAGAGTTTAGAATGCCTGTCCTGCTCCATTCTACTCTTTCTGTTAGGCAGGAACAGCCACTCCTAGAATGTAATATGAACCAATATTACCTGACAACAATAAAATATGAATGAAGTAAATTTGTTTTTCTTGGTAGTTATCAAAATTAAAGTTCATATGCAGTTGAAGGGTTGGGAGAAATTATTTTAGATATGATTCATATGAGATTTATTTCCTTATGTCTGAGAAATTAAAATAAGGAAAGAAAAGGAACTACACTCTATCTACTTATTGAAGTAACAGTTATATGTAAAATAGAATAAACCAAGGATTTATAACTTGATACAGAATGAACTCCAATGCTGTTCAGTAAGAAGATACAAAGAGAAGTCATAGATATAGGATGTTCTATTTTTTTCAAGATTGCAGGACAGGAGTGTCAGCAAACCATGTTTGGCCATTCTTCCTAAAATATTATTGATTCTTGAAACCAAGTATACATGGGAAATACTGTGAGGGATCATCTGCAGTGTGTGGATGAGGATTACATATCACAACTCACATTACACACAGCCACAGGATTTGCAGGTGTGCTAGTATTTTATTTACAAAACATATTAAAAATGAAAAAAATAGTTGCTCCTTTAAAATAAAATCTATGCAGAAATGAGTGCACTTCTTCTCACCAGCATTTTTATAACTATGAAGAACATGGAAAGAAAACTAATACAACAACAGTTGAGAAAGTTTTATTTGGTCTGTAGGTTCTCACATTAAAGACAAATATAATTGCAAATGTCCTTGTAATTCACTCTTTGTGTGAGGATGCTCAAATGACCCTGGGGTGGAAGTGGGGAACTTCCTGAATCCCTGCTGTGTCTATGCTTTCTCTTAACTTGTTAAGTACCATGTTCTATTGGAAGGACCCCCTGAAACAGTGTCTGACCCAGAAAGAGATAAAGAATGCAGTTTTTAAGCAGATGGCTCTTTACTTGCCCCTCATATCATTCCGTCAGAAATCACCTCAACTAATGATGATTTTTTTAAGATAAGTCTTCTCATTTGATGTCTATGCCACATCTTAGAATCATGCTGTTTATTTTAATGATCTTAAAAATCAAGACCATCCTGTGCTGGAAATGCACAGGTAAAATATGTAACAGAAAGTGGAATGGAGGTCTTTCTAGGAAGTTCTGGTCCTAGTTCTTTGTTTGATTCCAGGATGGAGGGAGCCTGCGGGTGGGAATATGGAGGGAGGCCGGATGTCATAGATACTCAGTGCAAGGAATGTGGCTTAGAGATATGCGTCCACAGCAAACAACTAACTATCCTGCTTTTGCTCTGGCAAAGGTATTGCTAAGAACAAGTGCGGAGTGCATGCAGAAGAAAGAATTAAAATAAAGAAGCCAACAAAACGAAACAAAACAAAACCGTGGAAAGGTATCTTCTCAGGATGTGAAAGTAAAACAACAACAACAACAACAACAAAAAAAACCAAGAGGGCATTCACTATAATTACCTCTGCTAGCTCCTAAAGGTTGTGCTTTCATGTTCAGGGCATCTGCCTTGTAGAGTCAGAAGGGAGCCGCTTGAAACAAGTTAGACAATTTACCAAACATTTCCTTTTTAAACGTGGGAGATCAGTTTTGATGCTGTGTTAGAAACCGAACAGTTGCCAGCGGAACTTCCGCCTGTCATTTCTTCCAGAACAAACAGCTTGGGCTTTCACCGTCACTGGGATTTCCTAGGTAACAGGAGTGTAAACTTGAGAAAAGGCAGGACCTGCATAAGAGTGACAGCGAGCTCAGCCAATCAGACCGTGAGTCTGCTGCAGCTTTTCCAGGCCATCCAATTAGCACTGAAAGCTTTGAAGGGCAGGGACACCTTAGGAAGACAGGTAAGAGGGAGGAGACACAGGGCCGTAGGAGGATACTAGAGTTCCCAGGTGCAGAAGTCTGTGTCCATAGTTTCAGCGTGAAGCAACCTGTGGCTACAGATTAGATTCCAGGTAACTTAATGTTCTTATTTATTCTATTAACTCCGCCACTTCTGCTTCATTTTTAACTATGAGGATCTATTATCTAAAAAGAAAAGTTAAACCTTGATGAAAAATGATGTCCTGAAGAAGCCATCCCTGGGCTGTCAGAGCACAGAGCCCCAGGGGGTGGTCTCTTGGGAGAGATGTTTAGACAAAAATCAATTTCGTTAAGCAAAGGCGAAGGAGCTAACCCTTTCTGAGTGGCGTCTGTGTGCTGGGTTCTTGGATGGGAAGTGTTTTGATGATTTGCTGTAACAATCCTGATGGCCCTTGATAAAATTGAGCCTCGGAGAGTTCTGTTTCCTGGTCACAAAGCAATCAATAGATACAATTCATTCCTATTTCTTTTGTGAGGTAAGTTTGTAAGGATTATGCCATACCCTGTGGACTGATGACTGATTCAGAATTAAAATTAGGGTTTTTAATTTAATTTTTTTTGTTGGAGAATTTTATACACAGAGTACTATGTTAACAAACATCCCTCCCTCCCTCTCTTCTCACCCCTCCTCCTTTGCTCTGCCAACTCCTTCCCAAATTCATGACTTCTTCTTTAATATCATTGTTGCATGTAAACATCTCTCTCTCTCTCTCTCTCTCTCTCTCTCTCTCTCTCTCTCTCTCTCTCTCTCTCTCTCTCTCTCTCTCTCACACACACACACACACACACACACACACACTCTCACACTCACTCACTCACTAAATAAATCCATTAAGTGATGCCAGTAGGCACTTGTGTTTGGGGTTGACCACTTTGAATGGATAACCTACCAGGAGACTTTTCTCTGGGGGAAAAAAAAAAAAAAGGATTTCTCCTTTTTCATCAGCTGTTGATGGACCGTAGCTGCTTTTCTTGTGATTTTTTTATTTAAATATATTTTGAAGATTATAGCAGGATTATATCATTCCCATTTTCCTTTCACTCCTCCAACCCCTGCTTCCAAGCACCCCTTTGCTCTCTTTAGAATTGGTGATGTGTTTTTAATGCAACAACAGATACCTGTTTTGTATATGAACACAGCAATATTTTGGTGGCTCTGAGTATACTATCTTATGTGCAGTATTATACAGAAGAGACTGCATGATTGCAATACTTTGGAATGTATAACAGAATTTTAAGCATTTAATGAAGCTTTGAAGGGATTAAAAGTAGAGGTACACTTTATGACTCTGATCTAGACCTGCAACTGAGATATCTTTCTCCTTAAGTTCTAGTAAGACAGAGCCAGTTGGGTAATGGTTTCTGTGGTATCAGTGGACAAGGCAGTGGGCACATTTGTGACAGGAAGGCATAGGTGCTTACCTTCAGCTGAAAATTAAAGGGATTAGTGTGATCTCTATGGGGATGAAGCAATTGACATCTTCTGGCACTACTATTTATGCTGTGAGCAAGTGTCAAAGACACATGAAGTCAATGATGAAGAGAAAGAATTTGTAGTTGATTATTTTGTTGAGCTTTGTCATTCTGACTGGGGTAAGATGAAATCTTGAAGTTGTTTTGATTTGTATTTCCCTAGTTGTTAGAGATGATGAACGTTTTTTAAGGTATTTTCTAGCCATACTTTTTTTTTATTCTTTGGAGATCTTGACATTCAGATCCCAGGTCTAGTTTTTTTCTCTTTCATTTTTTTATTAAGAAATTTTCTACTCACTCTACATACTATCAACAGATCTCCCTCCTCCCTCCACCCACCCTCCAGTCCTCTTTCCCAAGCCACCCCGCATCCCCACATCCCCCAAATCGAGGTCTCCCATGGGGAGTCAGCAGAGCCTGGCACACTGAGCCTAGGCAGGCTCAAGCCCCTTCTCACTGCACCAAGGCTGTGCAAGGTGTCACACCACAGGCACTGGGTTCCAGAAGCCTGCCCACAGACCAGGGACAGATCCTGATCCCCCTGCCAGGCCTAGTTTTTGAATGGGTCATGTTTTTTGTTTTATTTGGCTCTTTGGGTTTTTTTAAGTTATTTTTTTAAATATATATTCTTCACATTAGTCAATTGTCAGATGAATAGCCAGCAAATATTCTTTCCCATTTTGTAGTCTTCCTATTTACCTGGTTGTTTCTTTAACTATGTAGATGATTTTTAGTTTTATGAAGTCCCAGTTATCAGTTGTTGGACTTATTTTTGATCAAATGGAATCCTATTCAGGAAGTCCTTTCCTACATCTATATCCTGTAGGGTACTGCCATGTTTTTTTCTAGCACTTTCAGTGTTTCAGGTTTCATGCTTAGGTCTTTGATCCTTTTGGAGAGTTTTTGTGCTAGATGATAGGTATGGCTCTAACTTCATTCTTCTGCATGTGGACATTCAATTTCCCCAGCACCATTTGTTGAAGATACACCCTTCCCCCCAAAATTAAGTTTTTAGTATCTTTGTCAAATATTAAATGACTGTAATTACATGTACTTGTGTTTGGTTTGGTTCTTTGCTTTTGTCCAGTTGGTCTATGTCTTAGTTAACATTTCTATTGTGATGAAACACCACACCCAAAAGCAAGTTGGGGAGAAGAGGGTTTCTTTGGCTTGCACTTCCACATCATAGTCTGGACAGGAACTCAACAAGGGCAGGGACCTGGATGCAGGGGTTGAT